GACCCAGGTCAGAAGCTGGGGGGGGAATAGCCAACTCTCTGGTTGGCTGGAACAAACAGCTTGAACCAAAGCTAGCCCACCCACCCCAATGGGGGGGTGAAGTTTGCAGGGGAATGTGCAAAGCATTCTGAGATGCTGGGGGACTGTGAGTTAATTTGAATCTGGAAGGCATCTGGGACAGAAGTTCAATAAACTGATTTAACCTAAATCAGTTAAGTCTGATACTGCATCCATCCAGATTTATCTTAAACGGGTGTTGGTCTTTTTGAAAGCAGTATATGTGCACTGAACTTATGTTGTATTAGAGATCTGAACAGTTTCCAATCACTTATTCCAGTTTATGTGTAATTAAACTCAAATAACTCGATTAACTGAGTCTGCTGGAGCATGCTAATTAGTATGCTCCAGCAGCCTCCAGGTCCTGTGTATTCAGGATCCCTGTACTTCAAAATGGTGGCAGGGGTGCTTTAACTAAAGCTTATCAAATGAATCATAGAAATTAGGGTTGGAAGGAACTTCAGGGCTAGGGACAGAAGTTACACATAAATTGGTTTAAATGATCAGAAACTGGTTTAAACCTGTAACAGAACAGATGTTCAGTGCATATAAACTAGTTTCAAAATGGCTGAAACTGGTTTATGATAAACCTTGTTGAATGTAGTATCAGACTTAACTGATTTAGGTCAAACCTGTTTATGAAACTTCTGTCCCAGACCCCTTCCTGGTTCAAGTTAAATCACACTCCCCCAGCATCCCAGGATGCTTTTACAGCCCTGGGAAAGGCTGTGCTGTCAGCTTGAGCAAAGCAGAGTTGGCCCTGCCCCTCTGCTCTCTAGCCAGAGCAGTGAGGGCTGGCTGACAAAGGGGTGGGGGTGGGAAACCAAACTGGGGATGCATCCCAGTCTGTCTGGCATGGGTGGAGCAGCTCCTGCCAGACTTTCCCCACTGGAGTGGAGGGGGCAGGGGCATGAGACAGCAGGCACAGGAGGAGGAGGGGGAGGGGGATTAAACCCCTGCCCCCCCTCTCCCACCAGCATGGGACCCCAGCAGGGGTCTGCCCAGCTTTCCCCCCTGGCTGACCACTCCAGTGGCAGGGGGCATGGCCAGAGCTGGCCCGTGTAGCAGCCTCAGGCAAAGGTGGGGAGAGGGATTAAGTTGCCTTGCCTCCCCCTTCTCCCACTGGCACAGGGACCCCAGCCAGGGTCTGCCTGGCTTTCTTCCCTGCTGGCTGCTGTGGGGGGAAAGCCGAGCAGACCCCAGCTGGAGTCCTGTGCTGGTGGGAGAGGAGAGGCAGGGGGATTTAATTTGCTTCTCTCCCCACTTTTGCCTGAGGCACTGCCCTAGCTTGTGTCTGAACATGCCTACTGCCACTCAGGGACAACCCTAGCAAGGGCTGCTTTCCCCTTCCTCCTGCAGGCACACCCCAGCTAAGGACTGTGCAGACTAGGGTGGCAGTTTAAATCTCTCCCCAATCATACTCGGTGTGGCCTGCCGGGCCAACCCCCGCACCCCCCTGCTCAGCTTCCCTCCAGCCTTCTGGCCACTGTCAAAGGGAAGGTTCTCTCTAGCACCCCCTTGGCTTTTAGCTTGAGCCACTGCAGGCATGTAGCTGCATTTCTGGAATCAAAAGTGAATGGGTATTCACTTGCTTCTTGGTTCAATCTGTGCAGGTTAGATTAACATGCAAAATTTGAATCAATTCAGGCTCCGGCTTTTTGAAAGTCTGTACTTAGCTCAGGAGGTCATCTAGACCAACCCCATGCTCAAAACTGGACCATCCCCAACAAATTCCCCCACTCAAGGCTTTGTCTAGCCAGGTCTTAAAAACTTCCAGGGATGGAGATTCCACCACCTCTCTGGGTAACCTGTTCTAGAATTTTACTACCCTCCTAGTAAGAAAGTTCTCTCTAATATCTAACATAAGCTTCCCTTGCTGCAACTTGAGACTTGCTCCTTGTTCTGTCATCTGCCACTGCTGAGAACAGTTTAACTCCATCCTCTTTGGAACCAGTCTTCAGGTAGTTGAAGGCTATTCAATTCCCTCTCAGTCTTGTCTTTTTTAGACTATATAAACCCAGGTCCCTCAGCCTCTCCTCAGAAGTCAGTCCCCCAGCCCCCTAAAATGAGCTTTAGTTAAAGCACCCCAACCACCATTTCGAAGTGCAGGATGCTGAATGCACGTGATGAATGAATGCACGTGATGCCTAAACAAACGTGATGCTGTGGGTGATTGAATTAGAGTGGCTCTCAGAGCTGCTCTAATTGAAGTGCCCCTTTCTCCATCCCCGGAGTATGTGTAAAGACTCTCTTTATGTTTAGATTCTACAGTTATGGAGCTATGTAAATACTAGAGAAAGTTAACACATCAGCCTCCAACAATTTATTCATTTTTATAAAACTTTCTGTGTACTGTGTAATAGCTTGAATAGCAATAATCTAACATCTGAGAAGGAGTAATTCAAGGTGTTTATCAAACTGCATTTGCCTTCATTCCCAGTGAAAAAGAATAAAATGGTTTAAAAATACAGTACCAGTGAAAACATAAACCTTATAAAAAGCTAATTAAGAAATAAGGTAGTTGTATTTACCATTTCAGGCAGAACCACCATCTTTTCAGAAACTGTCTACAAGGGGCAAAGAACGCAGATATTTTATCTTCGTATTTAGCCATTAAGTAATCCCAGCAGATGAAAAAGATGGCTACAATTGTAAGTACAAAGAGTGGCAGGGCTCTGTGAAAGTTCAAGATGCACGCTGAAATGACCACTGCCAAATATGCTGTCAAAGAAAAAGCATTTAGATTTTAGTTAAGTCTGTTCTATATTTCTTTGATAATGTGTGAGAGCCAATAGAACATTCATTACTCAATAATTACATGCTTTTGCAAGCCTATAAAAATAAATGGTAGTTTCTCCCTTTCTTTTGTAAGGCAAGTTGTGACAGGTGGGATTAATATATTAAATGCCAACATGTTCTTGGAAGCCTCTCCCTTTCTTGACTCAGGGTACATATACATTGCTGAGAATCAGGGTAAATTATTTGCATGTAGCTCTGTATCACCAGGTACATTGCTTCCCATTCCCAAGCTAGCTCACTACAGCAAGCACAGATATCTCTATAGCACACTGCCAGCTGCAGTGTAACAAATCCCTGAGTCTGTGTTCTCATTAAGGTAGGAGGTTATCCAAAGGAAACTCAGATAAGGACAAAAATGGAATAAACCAATTTACTAAAAAACCAGGGAAGGGACAAAGAAGAGTGTTGAATGAGGTCTCCATACAGAATGGAATAATGAGATTTTGTGGCATCACCGAATATTTTGTGAATTAAATATTCTGCAGTCAGATCTGAATGGCTCAGACAGATTTTAACAGGTCAAGGTGTTTTCACTTCTAGATAACTGGCTTAAGTCTCAGTCTAGATACAGAAAGCTACCTGTATCTTATTTTTTAGTAAAAATTTTAACTCTCAGGCAAGTTTCTAAAATAAGTCTTTTCACAGACCTCAGTCAGTGTTACCTGTCACTGAATGGATGTGGAGGTTAAACTATTCCTTTTATTCCCAGTGTGGCCTGTCCAGGTCTAAGCCAAAGTATTTCAGTATAAGGATGGTAAGGAAGTTTGCACTATTGTTGCTTGTACTGCACTTGTCTGATAACTATGGAGAAGATTTTGGTCTGGACCCTTACTTCAGGACTAGAATTCCCTTTTATCATCTAATACCTTTCCTCTGAAATACATTCTAAAAAAATCCTGGGAGTTTTTTAGTGCGTTATGTTAATTTAAGTCTACCTCACTTTATTACTTAACTCAGACATGGAATACAAAGTATGCACAGCCTGAAGTCTAAAGCAAAACAGAGAAATGCTTCAGTTATTTCCCAAAGTTAAAATATATTTTACCTGTTATTAAAATTCCATAGATCACATATCGAATTGTGGTTTTATGTTTCTTGCAAAAACCACGGACTTCATCATATTTATGTTCTAAACACCTAGAAGAACAGAAAAAGCAAATAGTACAAAGAAATAAATTCCAAAGCAAAAAGTACAACGCAAAAATAAGAGTAATTCATATAGGATTAGGGTTTTCGGTTGTAGCTGTGTTGGTTTAAGGACATAGGCAGGCAAGGTTCTTTAAGTAGATGCGATAACTTTTATTAGACCAAATAAGTAGTTGGGAAAAAGTTATTTGCAAGCTTTCAGGTACAACACCCTTCTTCAGGCATAGGGAGTCTCTGCTATTCTGAGATCTCTAAGGAATGAAAGAAGCTAAAAGTGTGACAGGAGGTCAGTTAGAATGTAAATAGGTGGAAATTAGGAAATTGTTCTCCTAATTTCTTTCCCTTTGTTTGTAGCATGAACTGAAATAATGTAGCTGATGTTAACAGAGAGTGTAATAGTAGTGAAATGTAACCATGTTAGTCTTGTCCTGTAAGCAACTTGAAAAATCCATTTTGTATCCTTCTGCTTGACATAAGTGACTGAACTTTGCATAGCCTTTATGTATGTGTGTGTGTAAAAGGATGAATGGTGAGAGAATGGCATAGAGACAGGAGAAGAAGATTTAACTGTTTATGTAAGCAACAAGGTGCCAGATGTGTAAATTACAAGCCAGTAACTAACTAACAAATGGCTGAAGAATCCCTTTGAAGCTCAAGGGCACAAAGGAGATTACAGAAGAAGAAATACTGCCATGCGGGCAACAAGAACACTCCAAGGCTAAGATAAGCTGAAGACAAAAGAAGAACAACCACAAAAACCAAAGCTGGGTATGGAAAAACCCCAAAGCACTGAAACACAGGATGCCAATCCCTATAAAAAGAACACTTTGAAAATGCCAAATTGGGTGTCTCTCTTTCTCTACTGTTGTTTCATCGGAGCATAGATGCATCTGTTCACCCCGCTCCAGCTGTTATCTTCACATCTGCTATCTCCAATCATCATCATCTACTCAATAAGCCCAGGTTGGCCACCCTGGGCTGATATTGAGCAACTATGCTGGTAACTATATCGGGTGTATGTGTGAATGGAATGGTTGTTTTGTGTATGTGTATGCCTGTGTGTAATGATGTTTATGATGATTTGTGTGTGTTTGTATGAATGGTGTGTCTGAACCTAGATGTCTAACTCATGTGATCAATAAATGTGGCATCTTGCCTTATCCCCCTTTTATAAAGTCTCACTCGTGATTTGAGCAATTGGCAATTTGAGTAACATATTTTCCAAATTTCCACCTATTTACATTCTCACCGACCTCCTGTCACAGTTTTAGCTTCTTTCATTCTTTGGAGATCTGAGAACAGCCAAGACTCCCAAATGCCTGAAGAAGGGTGCTTGTGCCCGAAGGCTTGCAAAGAACTTTTTTCCAACTACTCAGTTAGTCTAATAAAAAATATCATATGGGGATTATACATATTCAACTTCATTGATGTTGATGATTTGACACGCTGAATGAAAATAGATTTGGCAGATGTTTAAAAGACGAATGCTTTGAAAGCTGAATGTGCAGATTCAGACACACAATGTGCACTGTATTCAGAATTACAACTGCACATGGAAAACCAACGATAGAATTTATTATAAACAAGTTAGGCTCTTAACAAAATATTAGTATAGCAGTATACCAATACAAAATACCAGGAACTACTAGTGTGTGCACATCTGTAGTAATTGCCAGTGCAGTCAGAAGTAGAGTTCATAGCTGTGCAAAGACCTGGGCATACAAAAAACCCTCTGAAATGTTTTGGAAATGTGGTGCTTTGGAAATTCTGCATGTGCTATACCACGGGCAAATACAGGATTTTGTTAAGAGAGGGGTGGGAGCAGTGACCAGCATTGCAGGGGTGGCAGCATCGCCTGCTCTCAGCTTTCACCACCCACACCAAGACAGGCAGATCACTCTGCAGAAGCCAGGGACTTCTAAAAAGTAAGAATCCCCCTACCGCCCCCCTTTCCCTTTGTGCTCAGTGGCATGTCTCCTTTGTCTCTCATTCCATGCCTTCCCAATGGAGATAGTGGGCACAGTAGCAACAGTGGTAAAGGTTGCGGGGAGAGGAGGTGGGAAGGGACGTGCTGCTGAGCACAGAGGGGAAAGGAGGTAGGGGAATTCGTATCTGATCTGGGGACTTTAAAACAAACAAATAAAAAAAGAGCCCCTGGCTACTGTTCCCATAGTATGGTCTGAAAGGGTTGTGTGACTGTGCCACTGTGCTCCCTGTGCATCCACTCCTGTGCTTTACATTTATTAAAATACTGATGAAGTAGAAGCTAAAGTTATCCATCATATACAAATACTGTAAATTTACTCTCCCTAGGTGTTAAATGACCTGTATTAGATCTCTGTTTAACTCAGTGGTGAGTGCCCTAGGATTTTATAGTCGTGTACTGAAATTTAAGAGACATAACAAACAAAGGGAAGGAAATCAACCCAGGTTTTAGACAATGAGCCAAGCTTTGTGCAAGTGTGGAAAGTTCCTGTAGATGATAATTATCCCAACTGTACTCTCATCTGGTAAACAGATGCAGCTGGAGTCAGCTATGCAGCAAAATTCTGCCTGAATAACCTTCTTATGCTGTAGTAAACCATAGTTAAAGGAACAGGAATGGCACATACCCCTAAATGTGAGAAATATTTACTTAATTTAAATTAACACTCAAACAGAAGAAGTTTGCTCAATGAGTCAAACAGTTACAACTCTTTGATAAACCTTGTTTGCTTTTGATATGTCAGTTTTTGTTCCTGGAATTCCTGTTGCTTTTAAATTACAGCACATTTTTACTTGCTAGGATGTTAAGTTACATATGCAACCTCCTGAAAGAGACTGGATAGGAGAAAAAGGAAGGAAAGGAAAAAGGAAACAAAGGTACATAAATAAGCTATAATGACTTTATCAATTTTTAATTGTTGGTGAATGGAGTACAAATTACTAGCTATTACCTACAGTAATGTATTTTTATAGTGATATGGTAATGGACAAATCTATTTTACAACTTAGCAATGAACAGTTAAGGCAAAGTATGACCATAAAGGATTCAGTAGTGTTTCTCAGTTCATTTATATAGTGGAATACAAGCTACGATCCTGTTATATTACTGAGTATATTTAAGGTATTTCCTATAATTCTGGAAATCAATTTTACTTTTGATTTTAACTCTTTGAGAACTTAACAGTGAAATCTAATCAGGGCCAGATGAATGCATAAGCAAACTGGGCACATGCCTGGGGCCCTAAGTGAAGAAGGGGCCCAGTTGTACTTATTTTATGTATTATAAATATTGAATGAAAAAAAGTAGGGGCCCATGAGTTTGTTTGCTTAAGGCCCACTAAAGGGTTAATCTGGCCCTGAATCCAATGGCTTTTCCCCACTCTTTATTTTGCTAAAGCATCCTTTGCTCATTGTGCTGTTTGTTTTATAGGTGCCCATCACCAAAGCATGAGAACACCTTAAAACAACTAAATAGTAAACAAATAGTAAATGGGTAATTCCACTCTGAAAGTATGACTTTTCAAGAACAGCATATAACAGGGGTTGCCAACCAGGGGTACGCATACTCCTGGAGGTACTTGGGAAGGCCCTAGGGGGTACGTGCAGGTGGGTGGGGACAGAGCCCTGCCACCCACCACCCTGCGCCGCCACCTTCCAGGAGTAGGGCTGGGGGGGGGGGTATGGGGGGAGGCGAGGGCAGGGGGGCGCGTCTGCAGCCTGGCCCGGCACTGC